CAGTGGGGTCAAAGCAGCCGGCTTTGAATGTGGCTGGCGGTTTGAGGCTTCCCATCTGTATCCCAACGTAAGTAAGTGATGCAGCAAGATTAAGCAGAGTCTCCATAATATGCCAACAAGATTAGTTTTTATAGTCCTCTGTCTTCAAATTGGTGTCTGCGTACTCCTTGAGATACAACCCTTTGGAATGGTTATGCAAGGACAGTTTTAAGAGAATCAACTTCTAAATTCTCAACTTGTATTCTCTCCTAGAAACCAGCTCCCTGTGACCCAGACCCTCCCTTTCTCCATACCCCATCTCCCACTTCCCACAGAAAGATACACTCCTTACCCATCCCAAATCTTACCATGGGAAGTTACCAGGGAGGGGTGGGAGGACATTCCAGGATGGCAAACAAAGGGACAAGTTAAAATATTGATGAGGAACCTGGGGAAGTGAATGACCACTCAGGTGGTTTCCAGTTATTTGCTTTTAACAAAGTTGAGTTGTTAGTTGGTAGATCATTAAATATAATTTTTGACAATAACCACTCTGTGCTTTTTGGCATATAAATTCAGGAGAGTTCAAATAATTGAATATAGAAGGAATGTTCTTATAATCAATAAGAATTGAATATAACAAAATTCCTTCCATTGCATGTGGATACACGTGTGATCAAGAAATCTTTAACTTTATAAACAGGAAAAACAGGAGGAGAATTTATCCTTTAGCATTCTAGCATTGGTAACAGTAACTTGTGGATAGGGTATATTCTTTGTGGTGAGGGAAAGCTATACTGATCACTTTAAGAGATGTATTTCTAAGTTTTTTACTTTTAATATTTAACAAAATATTTTGAACAGTTGTGTACTAATAAAAGCTGATAACTCAATCCATAAGACAATTTTTTAAACATTTAGTGCCTTGCCATCCAAGAAATTTAAAAATTTCAATTTCTAAATACATTTTTTGTTGAAGAATATAATAAGGTAATAATTTAAAATCTTTCAGCCATACCAATATATTACACTAGAATAAAATTTTTAGGGGAAAGTGGAATGGAAATGTAAGTTTAAATGATTGTTCATTGCTGTGTGTGTGCACAATCCGCTGGAATTTTACTTTATCGGGTTTGTTGTTGCACAGTAAACATACCATATGATTTTGTATCATCCTACCTTGCCCTCAAATGTTGCATAGAGTTGGTCTTGGGTCTACAAGAATGTACGGTATTGTAGTCTCTTCATGGGTAGGCACCACACGTCTCTGGTTTCTCCTAGAAGACCCTACTGGGCACAGGGAGACACACTTAGGGCATATGTGATCAGTGTGCAGCTTTGCAGGGAGAGCAGGGACATCATGCTACCCCTAGTAGAGCTTGTGGGGACAGGTGGAAAAAGGCAAAATTATGGGTTGTGGACTCAGCCAGTCCTGGGTTCTCAAAACTGTCTCCACCTCCTATTGGTTCCTTATCCCTCAGAGCCACAGAACTCCTTCTCCACAAAGAGGGATACTACTGTATGTAGCATGATTATTATGGGGCCTCACAGATGATGGGTGCTCTTTTGGGGCCGTGACCTTCCCCTTCCCTGTCCACAGTGTTAAGGGAAGAGAGAATTAGGCTCTCTCTAGTTACGTATGAAGTAGTTGTAAGACAGTCCGCTCATTCTCATTCTCCAGAATACAGCAAATAATTTTGATTCAGGCAGGACCAAAAGTCATGAGTAAATACATGTTGTTAAGAGAAAAAAAGCGGAGCACGCCTGGGTGGCTCAGTTGTTAAGTGTCTGCCTTCAGCTCAGGTCATGATCCCAGGTCCTGGGATGGAGCCCCGCATCGGGCTCCCTGCTCAGCAGGAAGCCTGCTTCTCCCTCTCCCACTACCCCTGCTTGTGTTCCTGCTCTCACTATCTCTCACTATCTCTCTCTGTCTGTCAAACAAATAAATAAAATCTTTAAAAAAAGAGAGAGAGAGAGAGAAAGGGGGAGGGTGTAAGGAAAGATGTAGTTTAGGTCTGTTCCAATGGGTCACCCTACAAGACTGAGTCAGTCTGACTAATACACCCATTCAGTCAGGGAAGGCCTGGAAATTCAGGGACTGTGCTAACTGGTTATGGTACTGAATGTCAGCAACTGAATCAGGCACTGGAAGCTCATCGTGCTTGCTAGGATACAGGCACGGTCCAAAACTATATCACACAGAAAAGATCTCTTACCTCTTTGACCTAAATAATAAGAGGGAAAACTCACCACACTTCTGCACCCTGACTGGTCACAGAGCTGGGGTCTTTCATGATTCAGCCCTGAGCACAATGAGGCTTCTCCTGACATCCCGTTAAGACTGCCACATCCTCTACGCCGGCAGCCTCCCCCCTCACATCTTTTCTGCACCGTCTCCCTCCTTGGTAGCGTGCCACTAATTTACTTGTTTGACATGATTGTATTATCACTCTCACCCAGTGGACTGTCAGTTCTAGGAGGTGCGTGTGTCACTCCCTTCTTTGCAGCCATTTGCTGGCACACTGATGGACATGTAGATAAGCAGTAAATAGTTACTGGATGAATGAATGAATGAATGAATGATAGCTAAAATTATCCCAGCTTATTGCTTTAATCATAAGGACTCATTTATTCATCTGTAGGGTATACTGGGATTTGCTAATCTACAACATATTTGCAGCAAGTTTTCTTGCCTAAGAAGAGCTAAATCGTATTCAAGGTAAATTAACTGAAAGCTGAAGACGCAAAACTGTTTTAACATTTAAAGACAACTATATAATTAAATGCCATGTATTTGGTAAGAAAGTTTGTAAACTAAATAAAACCAACAGTATCTAACCTCATTAGAGTCTTACTATGTAACTACTTTTAGGTTTTTGGTTTCCTTCTGGGAATATACTCAGTTAAAGAAAAGACAGTACCACTCTTCAGGTAAAAATTTAGTGAGGTGAAAGTCGATTCTTAGTTCTGAAGGCAGAATACACAACTTGATATTTTCCTTGCCTCCAGAATTACTTAACATAATCTGAACGTAAGTACATTATTTATGAGTATAGCACTACTTCCTGAAATATTTCCTTCTACCATACTCCAAAACCCTGTCTTCCTCTTCCAGTCCCTTATGTATTTATTAAACATTCATGTATTCAACGAACATTTATCAAATACCACAGGCATCAAACACAGGGATTATGCTGCCTTCCCTCCAAATAACAAACCTGTCCTGGTATAAAATGGATATTTACTCTGTTCTGTCAGTGGCTTTCTGAGTCTAGGACCTCCTCATTTCACACTCTTATAGTGAAAATTTTATAATGTGAAGAGATTTTCAACAAAACTAAAGTCTACAGGGATTGTATGAATAGCCAAAGTCACAGAGCTATTAAGTGGGGAGCTGGGATCACTCTGGGATTTCTGAAGCCCCACCCCCATGCTCCCACCTACTTACCTGACACAGGTCTTATTTTCATTCTCCATTAGGGAGAATTCTACAGCTTCTCTTGATCTGCTCATTCAACAAATATTTATGCCAGTGTGTTCTAGGGAGCTCACAATTTCATTTTCTCCCCCATATCTGCTTGTAACACCTGGTAGTTTTAATCTCTGTTAATGTAACCACTCTCGACTTGTCACACAGGTTAGAAATCTCCCAAGTGATTCTTGACTCCTCTCTCTCCCTCCCTCTTCACATTCAATAAGCTGGTGGGTTCTGTTGATATTAATCACATGTCCCTGGAATCCAGACTTTGCTGTTCATACCTTTAAAGGTACTCTAATTCAGGCCCCATCATACCTGCCTGGACTACTGCAGTAGCCTTCAAGCTGGTCTCCATGCACTGGCCTGGGACAGGATTTCTATACCACTGCAGGAATGAGGGCCCTTTCAGAGGAAAAAGGAGGAGGAGGAGGAAGAAGATAACTGTTGTTACTTCACACTTAAAAAACATGACAAAGTAACAGGTTTATAATTCACTGTTTTATACAGGAAAAGTGGTTTTTTTTTTTTTTTTTTTAAAGAACAGAGAAAGAAACAAAAACCCTTAGCAAGAAATCAAAAGCCTTCCTCCAATGACCTCATCTGCTCCTTCTAACCTCCTCTCTCCTTTGTATCCTCTGAGTCCTGGCACCTCTGAATCCTCTCGTCATTTTTAGACCCTTAAATCATCTCCATGCTCTGGTACATAATTCTTAATTCTTCCTGGAATATGCTTCTGCCTGGTTCACAAAGGCCCCTTGTTCTGTGACTCCCGCAATACATTTATACCTCCTGCAGTCTTACTGTTGTTTACATGACTGGGTTCCCTCCAAGCACCTAGAATTCTGCATTTCTGTCATCCCTAAACCTCCAGGGTTGAAAAAGTGACTGGCACACAGTAAGTGCTCAATAGAAGCTTGTTGATTGAATAAATCACTCTCTGGGAAGAGGCAGGGAAATAAATGAATAATGTTGTTAAAATATATTTGTTGCAAAATGGAGGCATAAATGAAGACCAGGGGAGCACAGACGGTTCCACTCCCTTGTCAGCAGTCTTGCACGAGAACAGTTCATAGGCTAACATCTGCGAGCAGGAAGGTTAACCCAGCCCCCTGCATACTTTTACCATAACTTTGGTCAGTTCAGCCTTGTGAAACCCACTTCAATCTCATCTTCAATACTGAGTCAGACACAACTGAGAGAAGGTCAAAGCAAATGAGACTCACTTAGTGACTCTGACTCTTCAGAGTTTCTCTCTGGCAGAGAGTTGAACACAGGAGCTGTATCATTGGGGTGGTGCTGGCTTTAGGGCTTTTCTTTTTGTCCTGCTGCAATCTACCTGCCATTTGTTTTCTTTTCTGGGTAAATATGTTTCCAGTCAAATTTCCTGGGGACTGTGAGGCATTATTCCTCTTAGATATGTCACTTTTAGAGCACCTTGTTAGTTCCAGACACACTGTGAGGTGTGTCCAGTGGACAGTGTAACCTCTGCTACGTCCGTCTGCCCTGGCGCCATGTTATACTGTCCCACTTTCTCTTCCTGCAGGGATTGTTTCCATTACTACCCTAACTGTGCTGGCCTATGAACGTTATATTCGTGTGGTCCATGCCAGAGTGATCAATTTTTCCTGGGCCTGGAGGGCCATTACCTACATCTGGCTGTACTCACTGGCATGGTCAGGAGCACCTCTGCTGGGCTGGAACAGATACATCCTGGACGTACATGGACTAGGATGCTCTGTGGACTGGAAATCCAAGGACGCCAACAACTCCTCCTTTGTGCTTTTCTTATTTCTTGGCTGTCTGGTGGTGCCTCTGGGCGTCATAGCCCATTGCTATGGCCATATTCTGTATTCCATTCGAATGGTAAGTTGAAAACTGCAAATGCCTCTCCCCTAAACTATTTCCAGGATGCACAATTCTGTGCAGAAGAGACTCAAACTCTCCCTACATGATAAGTGGTTGTCCGCAGCTGGATCACTTCTAGGGGACTTCCCACTCAATAGAATTGTTCACTGAGTCACTCTCTAAAAGACCAATGAGGAGTAACATCTACTCTCTCTACACTACTCTCTAAACCACAAGGAGGAAGCAAGGGTGTTCTAGACAGATAAAATCAGTAACAACCAAGAACACCTGCATTCTCTAGCACTCTTAGAATTAAAGAACTCTAACCAAAGAAATTCCACACTTCCCATGATTTTATTCATTCAAAGATCACATAAACCCACTTAGAGCATAGTATAGATATTTTGTCTAGAAATCACTTCTGAATCATAAAGCACAAGAACTGACCACAAGCAAGTTTCCTGTTGAGTGCTAGCAAGGAGTCTGAAGTGACCATGTGAGGCAGCCTCCTACTTTAGCCACATATGTTTTCCTTGCTCACTCACCGTGTCTTCCTGTTTGTGTCTTTCTTCTTCAGAACTACTGCTCATCAGTCTCTTATGCACTCTGCTAAGCCCCTCTAGCTTTCACCTTTTTTTTAATCAAACATGGCTACATGTATCACTTTAAATCATAAACCCTGCCAACTTCCACATTCGAACTTTTCTCATACATACCTATTTTGTAAAAAAGAAAAAAAAAATCCCCACATCAATCGAATGATAGGTTTTCCCCATGCCTGTAGTCAAACTACAAAGAGGAGCTGGGGGAAAATCTGCCCCCAGATTCCCAATATCCATACCCAGATGTCCTCTCAGCAGTGTCTAGTGATGTTTGGATCCCTAGATGGTCCAATCTCTCACACAATCGCCACTATAAATCCTCAGTGATCATTTTAATCTTTTGCCCTATCCTCCATTCATTCTTATCAAATAATCATGCTTATTTATTGGGCAGAAGAAAGCCATTATCAAGAAATTTCTCACCTCCCTGTCCCCCTTTATATAAGCCTCTCTGTTCAGCCTCATTGGTAGGCCCTTCTCTTCAGTTACAGGGTCATGGAATAGATCTCTCAGGGCCAAGCTGACCCTAGCTTCTGGTTTTCCCCCAACCCCATTCTCTGCCCCAGGGACCTCTCTCAAGTATTAGTTTTCTCTTTCACTTACATCTCCAGTCTCTCCCTTACTACTGGCTCCTTCTTTTTTTTTTTTTT